AAAAACTGCCGCATATTCTGGGCATTCCGGGGATTGCCAGTTTAAGTTTCATCCGGCTGTCAGCCAGGTTCACTCATCTCCCTAAACAAGTGTAAGAGAGATTTGAAATACAGTTTGTCACATCCAAAATAAAACTTCAACAATATAACATATAAAAACATGTTTTTGTAAACTAAAATGGGTCATTAAGCCCATATTTGCCCATGTAAGAACTTTTGCTATGTATGGTGCAGAGGTAGGTCACTGGATAATGTTCAATGACATCAAAGGTCAATTACAAATTTAGCTTACCACAGTTCACATAATTTATTTCTAGCTTTTGTGACCCACATATGCAACAGATTGGAACCAGCAGAAAAAAATTGGGTTAAAACATGTATTCACAAAAGAAACATGCAAAGCAAGTTTTAAAAAATTTAGCAATGTGACACCAGAAGAGAATTCAGTCACATACAGCAATTGAAAGATTGACAGATGATTTTTGATATAAAATGTTATGTATTATTAGTTTATGTTACGTATTATGCAACTATGTTAAAACATCACTTTTTACTGAACTGGTAAAGCCAACTTTAACCCAATAAGGCCATGATATGAGTCAACTCTGTAAAGGTACACTAGTCAATTATTCACACTCTTTATCTATATCTTAGTTCTAGGCATTGCAGCTTCTGAAGTAAAAAGTTTTAAAGATTTCACTTTTAATATCTACATTTAGCCACAGAAAGTCCATGATTAAGCTAATATGACCTACTTGTGCATTAAATTGAAATATGAAACCATTTCTAGAACTTGTGTAAACTCCACCTGAGAAGCATTCCTGTGATGTTAAGTCAAATTTAGCTTGTGCTTCAATAGAAGGTAAAGTTGTTTAAAGAAATGGTGGAAAACATCAGCATCATGCCATTACAAAAGCTCTGAGCATAGCTAATATAGGTGTCCTTACAACTTTAATTAGTGTTTAGATATAATATTGAAACAAAAAGTGAGTGATTATAATGACTTACAGTTGAGTTCACACTAAACTTCCCACCCTTGTGCACTTCTAGTGCACTAGAGCTGAACTAGAAGTGCACTAGAAGTGCACTTCTAGTGCACTAGACCATATGACCAGGCTGGCCAGGGAAGGTGACACCTAAATGGTTTATTGGGTAATTGTATATCAAGTGGGGGGGGGGGGGGCATCCATTGTTACGCTGCTCTATGAAAAAAAAAAATTGGGAAAATATATATATGGCCTATTCATGAATATAAATAAGTAAATTTTAAAATCAGCAGTTTTAACATTTTAGGTGATTATTATGTTGAAGCTTATTGTAATCATATTTTTATTAACCAGTATTTAACTGTAAGTGAAAAATAATACCCCTTAAAATCAAATTTATAGAATTAATAAGGTTAAATTTAAATATGCTCCGTAATGGATAATTAAATAAGTGTTTTTAAATGGCCATATATTTCAATTTTTCTAGTGTATAAATGCTATAAATCAATGTGATAATTCTGGCCCAATTAATTTAGTTTGTTACATCATAAACTTTTTTTCATAAGCTCAAACAAATCAAGGAAAGGTTATATTTAAGCTAAAATATTATTTCTATAATATTTAACTTAGAGACAATTCATCATGTTCAATATTGAAAGGGAATATTGATACATTGATTTTAAAACAATCAATATACTGTGATAATTTAGTATTCAACTGTGTAATGCTTGCATATGATTATGCAAATAATTTAAATATTATCCATAAAATAAATAAATTTGATATCTTATATATCTTTGATATAACTTTATTCAAGATTTCTACATTAAAAATGTAATGTATAAAGGGAATGTTTTTATACATGTACAAGAGGAAAGTCTCGAGTCATGCTGTGTATTGGTATTTTTTTGAGAGCGACTGTTTTCATTACACTGGTCTCCTGCTGATAAGAGGGCCTCAGGGTAAATAACAAAGAACAGTCAATTTTGCAGATTTATAAGAATGCATTGAAATTCCCTGGTTTTCTCAAAATGCATGTTAGACATAAGCCTGGGATTCATCAGGCGTTGGCACTCAGTAAATGACCATAATTTTTGTATAATCAAATATACAAAAAAAAACATAAAGGCATAAATGCATAATAGATATTATCAGAGACATAGATAGATGTTATCCATGTCTCTGATATTATTGTCTCTAAAGCGGAATTTTTCTATATGTATCCATTTATCCACATTTCTTGCCATTCTGCATAATAATATCACGGATTTATATTACTATATATACTATTAATATAAATCCGTGATAATATATAACTTAAGAGGCAATTCCTCATGTTCAAGATTGAAAGAGAATATTAATTCATTGATTTTAAAACATTTTATACACTGTATTATTATGTTTTTCAACCATAAAATGCTTGCATACTATTTAAAGATATACATAATTAAAATTTTTCCATAAAATAAATAAAATTGATAACTTTATTCAAGATTACTACATTAAAAATGTAATGTATAAAGGGAATGTTTTTATACAAGAGGAAAGTTTCGAGTCATGCTGTGTATTGGTATTTTTTTGAGAGCGACTGTTTTCATTACACTGGTCTCCTGCTGATAAGAGGGCCTCAGGGTAAATAACAAAAATGCAAATGTATGCAATATTTATTGAAAATTTCCTTTTTTCCCCCAAAATACATGTAAGTCATCGATAAATGACTATACTTTTTGTATAATCAAATGTAAAAAATAATCTTAATGTCATAAACGCACGTTAGATATTATTGTCATTTATTGTCTTTGAAGTGGAATTTTCTAATCTTATTATAAAAATCTACTGGTTTAAAACCAGTATCAGTGTTAACTATTCTACAAAGACTTTGTATCAATATTTTTTCACATTTCTTGCAATTCTGCATTAAAATTTGCAGCATCTTTTAGTTTTTGAACTGGGAAATGTTATTTTTTACTATTATAGATTTGACAAATTTGCCTTGTCAGTTTTTACGCATTTAGAAGATAATATGTTTTAAAGAAAATGTTATTTAAATACATGATTTTAAAACTTTTGCAACTTCCTTTTCACTTTAATGCAGATCTGGTTTTTTTTTTTGTTTTGTTTTTTTTTTTGTTTTTTTTTGTTTTTTTTTTTGTTTTTTTTTTTTTTTTAAATTTAATATCATAATATGAGCAGAAAACAGATACAGGAGATTAAAGTGTCAAAAGTCATGCTGTGTATAGGTGTTTTGATATAGTACCCTGCTGATAAGAGAGTCCCTCAGGGTAAATAACATAAGCCAGATTAGGCGATGTAAATTCTGTATTCTCTGGATATGTTGGTGCAAATAAATTTCATTACAAATAGTACAAAAAGAAAAATGAATATTTTTGCAATTTATAATAAACTCATAAAATTAATCATATTTCATAATAATGTTACAATGCATAAAAAAAAGGAAAAAAGATTGGTGTCGTCTCAAAAAATGGAATTGACAGATTTTCTAATCTTTTTGTTAATATCCATGTCAGTTTAAGTATACTAGTATCCCACAGGTACATATCAATACTTAATCCACACATATCAAAACATACCACCATTATATATAAATATTTATTTTCAGAATAATATATATCATTTATATTAATCTTCAAGGTAAATCTCAGTTTGAGAAGGTAAGAGAGATTATAAATGAAATAAAATTGACAAAATTTAGGCCAATTATAAACATATTAATTCTTTAATGTGTTAAAGGCTATTAATGCTTAAAATCATTACCTATAACTAAAACAACTATAAGTTAAGATGAAAAATAACTAATACTACGGTATAATTCCCCCTCCCCCCAAAAAAGAACTGACTTAATTTTGTTTGATTAGCATTTCAATGTTTCATATTTCATTACCAGATTATAATAAAATAGAATCATATTAAATATCAATTAAGTTTATTTATGCACTTATCAACATTAAAGTTATAATTATTTATATTTAAATTACTTATTCTAACAATTAAATTTTAAAGTACAAAATCAGTAAAATTAATGACTTTGAAATTTATTGTTCTAATATTTTACGCCATATTTTACAAAATCCAATAATCACAATTTCAAATTTTTATTGAAAAACTATTAAACAGATATCTATATTTTCTATCTTTTTGTAAAAGTCAAATTGCTATTCAGTGAAATAAAAGGTAACTGCTTAATACATATAATAGGTCTGGTGCACTACAAAGTGCACTTATGAAGTGCACTACTAGTGCACTTTGTAGTGCACTAGTAGTGCACATCTAGTGCACTCCTAGTGCACTTTGTGTAACCTTTAGTGTGAACTCAACTGTATCTCATGTACTCCTGTTATAGAGATAAAGCTATATTTACCTTGTTTCAATGTTATTGCCAAGGTCATATAAGTAACAAAACCACAAACACCCGTTAACTGAACAAAACATCCTGTAAGCATATACATCTTCAGTCTCTCTGGACACAATTCATATTTACGTCTTCTGTTTCTCACATGAACTATACACGTTATTAGTGCTGGTATTGCTAAAAAAAAATATATCACAATTACAACAAGAGCACAGCTAGGCGGAATATTATATGCCTGAAAGTGATTTTTTTTTAGAAAGGATGAAGCATTTGTAAGACATGGGAATTAAATAATTTTCCCTGACGGATGCACAGAATGACGCCAGGGATATAATATAATATAATCAAATTTTTAAGGGGATATAATTAATGTACTCAATATAAGTGATCATCCTACGAAGTTTGATAGTTGTTAAACTTTTAACAATATTAAGGTCATTTGATATTGACTTGTGACCCCAATATAGATATGGATCTTTTATTCAATATAGGCAATCAATCATCCTGTGAAGTTTGAACATTGTAAGCCAAATGGAACTTGTGTTATGCTCCGACATGCACAATATTCAGTCTTAAGGTCATTGTGACCCTGATCTTTTGAGCCTAAAATAAATAGGGGTCATGTTTTGGACATGGCTGTTCATCGTATACATTTATACAGCTATAGGTTGATTAATACTTAAGTTATTTAGCAAAAACCGTTTTCAATTTTAAAATAATAATGACCTTGACCTTGTGACCCAAAAATTAATAGGGGTCTTCTACTCAATATTGACAATCTTCCTATGAAGTTTGAACACTGTGGGCCAAATGGAACTTAAGTTATGCTCCAGAAACCACAAGATCATTGTGATCCTGACCTTTGACCTTATGACAATCATCCTATGAAGTTTGAATATTGTAGGCCAAATGGAACTTAAGATATGCCCCGGAAACTGTTTTCAGTTTTAAGGTAAAAGTGACCTTGACCTTTGACCTAGTGACCCAAAAATCAATAGGCGTTTTATACCCAATATGGACAATCATCCTATGAAATTTGAATATTGTGGGCCAAATGGAACTTAAGTTATGCTCCGGAAACTGTTTTCAGATTTATGGTAAGTGACCTTGACCTTTGACCTAGTGACCCAAAAATCAATAGGGGTTTTCTACCCAATATGGACAATCATCCTATGAAGTTTGAATATTGTGGGCCAAATGGAACTTAAGATATGCTTGGGAAACTGTTTTCAGATTTATGGTAAAAGTTACCTTGACCTTTGACCTAGTGACCCAAAAATCAATAGGGGTTTTCTACCCAATATGGACAATCATCCTATGAAGTTTGAATATTGTGGGCAAAATGGAACTTAAGTTATGCTCTGGAAACTGTTTTCAGTTTTAAGGTAATAGCTAGTGACCTTTGATCTTGTGACCCCAAAATCAACAGTGGTCTTCTACCCAATACGGACAATCATCCTATGACGTTTGAATATTGTGGGCCAAATGGAACTTAAGTTATTCTCCGGAAACTGTTTTCAGTTTAAAGGTAATACTAACAATATCATTTCTTCAAATTTATGTTTCTCTACAAAATCACTCAGATTACTTCTGACTGTAGGTAAGGGTTAATGTTTTTGGGTTAGGGTTATGGTAAGGATTTTTGCTGTGGGCAGATTCTAAAATTGTTTGAAACCAACACAATACAGCCCTAAGACTAAGAGCAATGTCTCTGACATGTCAAATTACATGTAGTTAGTACGGGTTCAGGGTGGGGTTGTACTAATTTCTGACCTGGCTATCAATTATGCAATTTCAATGTTTTTAAAAAAATTAATTACCTGAGCAAAGACCCCAAAGTGAAGCATTCCAATTTTTATAATGTAATCCAAAAACTGCAAACACTGACAATCCTATAAAAATACCTAAAACACTAAAGAATATACAAAGGAAATATTTCCTCTCGCCGGGCGCAGCCATGTTTGTTTACATGAACCCATTCGGAATACCTCGACTATTACCAATAGGTTAGGTAAAATAGGGACAATACTTTCTATGCGAAAAGGACAACAGTAATTTTTTTCAATCACGTGATTATCTCATTTTCGCAAACGAGAGTGTACAAAGGGGACTTCTTTTAATCAGTGAATATATGGCATTTTATTACAATTTGAATCTCATGGCTATGTGTCGTTGATATTTTTCTTATTTTATAAAATATGATATAAATTTGGATTTAGCATAAATGTGGTATTTTCTTATGTAGAATGAATTAATTTTCACATATGCAAGATGATCTTTTCTAATCAAGGAATATAATGGATCTTTGTCTTAACAAAAAGTTCTTAACAAAAGCTGATGCTAGAATATGGATCGGAACAAATTTTGGCAACTCATAAACTCAAAAGGAAAACGTCCAGTTAAAGACCTTGTGCAGAAATGAAATTTAACAGGATTGGTTTTCTAGACCAGTTATCTATAAGAGAACACTGAAAAGAATACTTTGAACAATTATATAACCCGCAGAAAATGGTATATTCGACCAACATTTGTGATATTTATATATCCTATTATATATAACTATTATCAACACTATTTGTGTTAGTCAAAATTATTCTAAGAAATGATGAGATTTGGTTACATTCAAACCAATATAAAAAATTTAGGTTTAATTGTAATTGTTCCATAAAGGTGCTGAAGAATGTAAAGCAACAACAATAGAGAGGTGCAAAGATATAATTATTTCAATATTGAATACACAGCACGAAGGTTACCAGGAAGGCTTAAGAAAGGTTTAAGCTGCTTGATGACGTTTTTTTTTAAAAATTTGTTCTGAAATAAATATTAATACACTAAAGTAATATGGCATCAACGTGTATATAATGATACAAGTTCTCCTACGGTATCAGACGACATGGTTTCAATGTTATATTCAAAACTGGTCCCCGAATCATATGTGACAATCGTTTAAACTTGCAATTAATTGCGTGTCCAGCAAACGTTAATTTGCGTCAGATCTGTTTCGGTATCTTAAATTCGGGTCTTCGACAACTATTCCAAAATTCAAAATTTTACCATGCTAACAATATATAAGTGAAATATATATAAGTGAAATATAATTACAACAGCGTTGTTCGGCTGCAAACTCCCGGAAATCGCTTTCTCAAACGTATTTACTTGAAATCGGAATTAAAGAAGTCGTCTTTCGGCAGGCTTAATATTAACCTCTGATCCCCTTTGAAATTCCATTCTATCCAGTTCCGCCCATTGTTTTCTCGTTTAGGAAACACTCATTCTTTTTTTGGGAACATATGCTGCTTTTCATGGAATGGCACGGCACTACTGTGCAACATTGATCGAAGGTTTCATGATCACCACTGCATGAACACATATGCATGCGGATGTTTTTAAATTCAAAATTTTACCATGTACGTGGTCAGACTTCAACAAACGAGCCTGCGACATGTCCAATCTTGCTGTTTTGGACTTTGGACTCTATTTTGTCTGAAACATTTAAAAAACTTCTACCTGACTGAAAAGTTTATTGCAAAAATGTTCTTTACTCTCTAACAATTAAGATGTCTAAATGGTGTTCGACAAACTTAAGATTTAATTCCTGATATTAATAGACAGATAAATAAATATGGCATTGTCAATTCTTATTTTTTTTCAGTTTCCGGCTAAAATGCTTGGATTACCAGAGTTTAGATGGAAGTAGCGACTAATATCACTTATTGAACTGATTGAGTGAGATAGAGCAGTTTTGACAGCTTGTTGTTGTTCCTACTCTATGTAAGCTCATTCGGAATTCATGGCATTTGATAAATACTTTATTTTTATTCTATTTATAAAATTATCCATCCATCGGTTTTTCTTCTTGAAAAGGCCTCTTATTTCTGTAGTTACTGAAGTGCAACTCATTAATTATCATGGCAAAACACATTAATGTAATAAGATATCCTATGTTCTAATTTCTAAATAAAGGTGATTCCGTTTTCCCGAAACAAGTTCTTGAAATTCGCATGTGGAATTTTAAAATGAAATAGTCTTCAAATATAACGTTTTGTTCAAATCATAGAAACATTTAAAAAGAATGATTGAATAAATTTTGAAGCATGAAATATAATAAACTGCCAAAAGAATAATAAGGGACGGGAAGGGATACTGTCAACCTGAGAACATGATGCGCAATGATTTTATAAGTTTGTACGTATAATAACCCAGTCAGTCTGTCAGTCAATAAGTCAAGGTACAGAACAGAACTGAACAGAATTTTATTTTGGATTTGTACATAGTACATCATAACTACAATATAAATACACAAATTGTAAAGATGTCATGTTTCTATTTAACAAATAATATAGGATTAAAAATATAGTATTGAATTTCATGTAAAGCTGGAGAATGAACAATAATGGATTAAGAGAATTATATTATTTCCACTTATAAAACAATTTGTTAATCAGCGTATAAACATATTTGATACATGTACTTTCATTCAATGCCACAATATTCACAATACAATAAAAAATATAATAGATGCACTGGAATTCATTTGCCTTAAAATAAAACAAACTTAAGTTAAACATACTAACAACATATAGTCCTGATTGTGCATTCTTTGCAAAACTGACCAAACTGTACCCCAATTTCCAGGCCCTGTAATTTTCAGCGGACTGGTTGTGTGGCTCTAAAACTTTTTGGTTAATTGTGCAAATATAATTTTATGATTTATATAAATGATACAGACAGTTGTTGGTGCGAGATTTTTTTGTTTCATAATTCAAGCATAGTTAAAATGTAAAAAATGTTTAGTCGATATGTCAAGATGATTAATCAAAGTTGCTTTTTATAAATTTAATCCAAATACGTTGAAAATAATTCACATTATTCGATTTCATTTGTCTTAAACACACAAAAAAAACACACACACACACACACTAAGGAGACTGAATTAAGGGTCTCAGACAGATTTCATAAAAAAGGGGTGAAGTGTCTGAGAAGTGATGGAGCTATACTCGTATATATTACATCTGGAATAATAGTCTCTGGAGGTGTGAGTGTCTGCAAAAAATGAAACTGTCTATAAATCGTCCGAAAAAGCCCCCTCAGTTAATTACTTTTTTAACAACAATAAATGTTTGTTTCTTCTTTAATTAAGTAATTAGATTTATTTCTACGGTAATATTTTTATCTCAAGAATGTTGATGTTAAAAATTTGGGCGTTAAGAGTGCAATACCTGACCTCATATACCAGCTGTAATCATATGCAGAGTAAACAATAGAATATCCAAAACGTGGGCATTTGCTACTTAAATATTGTTAATCATAATAAGAATAAAAAAACAGAACACCCAAGGATTTAAATGAATTAAATAGCATCATGTACATATCTGTCCGGACACATGGTACTGTCAGTGTAGACAATTCAGGTAATTTTGATACCCTCCTTGACGAGCCTCAGATATAAGTGTCAATATAATCAGAAACTTGTTTGTTAGTTAGGAGAAGAACATAGCTGTACTTTGTCAAATTTTCAGGTCTCTATGTTTGAAATTATGAAATCTGTATGGAAAAAATGTTCAAAAAGTGTCCGGTTGATATGGTCCCCGACCAATACTGTGCTCCTCCTAGTTCACGGTACTTAACGCTTTGAAACTCGATGAACTTATGGTATAAAAATATTTATAAGCTGTAACATGTAGGTATTTCCTGCTGTATGACACGAGGATACAACAACATATTCATTCAAAATCAGATTTAATGGTCCAGATGAAGACCATAGGTCAAACATTTTGAAAACACATATGTCATCATTTAAAACGCGGTAAATTGTGTCATACTCTAGTTTTTTCATTTTTTAGTTAAAATTACTAAATGTTATATTGCTCAATTTTGAATATTAAAACTATCTTTGCTTTCTTAATAAAAAAATTATATTTTTCTACAAACAGTTATGATTGTTTCAGACATAAGCGTACATTTTAACGAACTAAATGTGACTTTTGTGTAGAAATTTGTAAAATATTGTTCTGTTTTACGAAAAAAATCTAAAGATTTAAAACAATTTCCACAAAAACTTTAATGTTAAGGTGTTTGACTAAAATATGTCAATTTTACCGGCCATATGGACCCTATACAAAATAGTAAGTCCTTTCCGCATATATAGATATTATGCGAAAAGGAGCGTTTATCCGTAGTTTGACGGAAAGAGCCGAGAAGATGCGATTGTTGCCGACCATGAAGTTTGCAATGACGGAAAGTGCCGATTATCGCCTCCGATCTACCTCGGAAAGACGAGATCTGCCGAAGGGAATCGAGGAGTGCTAATAATTTTTCAGCCATCTAAATCATTATTAAAACGAAAACATGCCACCAAGGAGAAATAATAGAAGACAAACAACGAAGGATAATGTAATATCCCCTACACAAGAGAAAGAAGGTCAATATCTTAACTGTTGTTAACTTCTAACATAAACAAATTGAGTTGGTCCATATTCTGCCACATGATTTCGCGACACGTAGTAGCAGACACTTCGTCTGTCAGTTTGTTTTCATTCCCAAAAGCGTGTTTTCATTTCTGGGCAAAACATTAACAACTGCTCTGACATGTTTTTGAATATTCTTAGACACTGCAGAGCCCAGGGCAGGCATCGAAAAAATATGAATTTCTGAGCCACTCATCATCACGGATTTAAATTACAGGGATCGGACACTCCTAGTCCAATATATTAGACGTTACAGGCTTGTTATAGTTTTTGTCGGTCAAGCCTGACGTCTAATAGTTATTGCTCAAAAACGCATAGCATCATAAAAAATTACAAAAATGTCTATTGTCCTGCCTTGCAAGCTTTATTCAAAAGATTATCATATTTTCTTTCAATTTCATGCTCAATCATACACAAAAACTGTCAAACGATGTACTTATCAATTTAAAATAAAATATAAACATCAATCTGTTTTTGTCTATCAGCCATACTGGTTAAACAAGGTGCTTTACAGATTGATTCCAAATTTTTGAACGGAAAAATATATTCAAACACACTGACGGTGCATGGGCAATTATTTCGTTAAAAAAATATTCCGTTAGATTGTTCTGACTCAGTTAAACGCTTGCATTTGAATTAGCCAATCAGATTTCGCGCACTTTACGGCCGCCATTTGTTTATCGGCTGTAAAAGGAATTGAAATACATGAGAGGATTTAATCATGATTTTTCGGATGTGACAGTTTAATTATTTTGTCAAAAGGTATTTATTTTTTAGTTTTGTTCATAAATAGGTCAAAAAATATGTAAATACACGCTGTCTTCATTGTTTTTCGTTCCGCCCGATTTTCTGGCGGAACATGCTATGGGTTTTTGAGCAATTTCGATATGACGTTGCTTTGCCCAGAAGCAAAAATATCTCAAAGCGACGTCATATTTATAGGACTAGGACACTCCCAGTTAACCCTATATAAATGCTTAAATATCTTGTCGTGCACCTGATAAAGGTACATCGATTGATAATTTATCGGCGCTAAGCGAAAATGCCCGTTCGCAACGGATACCTACTTGACAAAATACCATATAGCTTTTCCATTTATTATCCGATTTTTGAAATTTAAAGTTTATTTTCAAGAAAAATGCTTGTTTAATTCAAATATCTAATTTATTTTTTAAAGATACAGACTATCTGTCTGCAACGACGATTAAGAAATTAACTTGACGAAATCCGCGGTAAATTTACATTTTTTATATAAAAAGCAGATATTTGAAATTTATTATTACGGTAACATAATAAATTCAATTTCAAAATAAAAAAGAAGCCGATGGAAGTTATTCACAGTTGATCAAAGATGCAATATTTAAGATTTATTTGGTTATGTAGTCAAATTAATTGACGCACAATTGTTTTACGGGTAATGTATTGCGGGCTTTACAATTCGCTCAACACGTAAAGTAAATTTATTCATTTTTTTAAATACAAGATATTGCTGATATTGTCAATACATGTATTGCCATTTTCATAGGATATTTAAATTTTCTTCATCATTTATATCATTATTATTTTTTTTGTAAATCTGTTTTCCAAATGTCGGTGCAGTGAAGTAGACAATCATCGTAACAGTAAAGTACTCTCGTGTGGCTGTCTCGATTCCGGCCTTTTTAATGTCACTCGTATATTTTAATTATTTCACTCGTATATTTTAATTATTCTTTTTATTTGAATGCCTGTAGAAAGATATTTCTGATATTTTTTAATGTAACGCTAAAAAACAATAAAAATCTTTACAGTTTGAGTCAGTATTATGCGAAATAAAAGTAACTGTTGTAATTTTTTACACATCGCTTAAATTTCTTTGAAGTTTAATTACTTTTGAAGGGGGTTAATTACCAGGTAACAAGTGATAATTGAAAAACTTTATTTTCAAACTTTCATTATCAGGTTACATGTGATAATTTCAACACTCAATCTTCAAAAACAAATAGAATTTGAATGTATATGTTGTATGTGCGCGGTCTTTAACTACAGTCCATGGCATGTGTGGTAAGAAAATGATTCTGAAGAGGATATATATAAATACAATGTAAATCTATTTTCTTTATTAACATTTATAAATGAAATTGAAAATAAACAACTTAATTTGTATAGTCCTTTCTTTGAAAAATAATGAAAATAAACATATGACAAATAAATCATTTGACGTGAATTGTGAAGGATAACTATGAAAAAAATCTGTTTCAAAAAAAATATATATATAAAACAGCTGTTCTATATGCCAATAAAAGTTTCTTCCTTGCCAATCTAATGAATTCATCTATATATGAACGAATGTCTAGAATGATCTGAAAATATATTTAATACACTAATTAGTAGAATATTTACTATATTTATACTAACATACAGGTAGATCAAATAAAACATGTACAAATCATTTGGAAATAATTCACAGAAATAAAGACACATCTCAAACATGAATTTCTTTAAAAGTATTTTAGCAATCAAGAAACATTTTTTTGCAATGCCACCATTAAACCATGTAAAAAATAATAATCTTAATCTGAATCGCGGTAATAATCTATGCTTGACGTAAAAGGGCGTCAAAGTGTAGAGAGTATGCCTAAACAATAGGCGAATATTTTTTAAATTAGGTACTTTTTAACTAAGCGTCGCAGCGTTCTATCGGCATATTTTCATATATTAATACTTTAGCTGCACAAAATAATACTGTATCTATACATTCATATGTGTATAATTTTTCACAGAGCTGCAATAACACCACATACTCTTGTGAAAATATGTCATATTTCACACTCCGAGCGTTCCGCCATCTCATTCTGTCCACCTTTATCCGATTCCGCGCATGCGCGCGACGGGACTTTAAGCTAAACGAAAGTGTCCGATCCTTGTAATATAAATCCGTGTCATCATGCAGGACAAGTAGCTTCTAAATCCATTGTTCATGAAACATTTTTCTTCTTGTCCTGCATTGAGTTCTTTTAAATTCTACACAAAACTGCGAGCGGACAAGTGGAATTTACAATCTGGGCACTGCAGTTCCTAAGAAGAAATGTAGCTAGTGGTTCTCTACAAAAAGTATATAAGCAGAGATGTTGATATTATCTATGTCTCTGATATAAGTCATACTTGTGGATTCTATATAATAATTTTAAAATGAAACCAATCAGAAAACAGCTCACCAAAGTCTGGGTTTATTCGAAATAATTAGTTATTTTAGATCTAAAATATATACATGGCTCTGGGGAATTCACCTAAATGGGATGTTATAGAGATAAACTATAAATATTATTTTGGCCTTTTTGGATTAGAAATGAAGAAGAAAAAAAACACCAAAAAACAATAACATTACAAATAATTACATGCAAAAAATACATGTAAAAGCAGAAAAAATTTCAATTTATTATGGCAGGTGCCGCTACAACTGTTTTGAATTTATAGATTTTCATTATAAACAATTCAATTTTTTTAAAATTTGAAATAGATAATAAAATAATGATAAAAATAGAAATATGGCATAATAATGCTGTGTACTTTATTAGGTGTAAATCCCCATCTGGAGCTAAATCTGTAATGTACTGGAAAAGGGTGTTTAGCTAGGTTTTCGAAAAAGGTATTAATTTGAACAGAAGTGCTTTTGTCCACCTACGGAAGTAGGGCTTTTGGTTGTTTTTCAAAAAAATCAATTGAGGAGGTTTTGTCCTGTCACCATCAGCACCCATTAGAAATAAAAGAATATTACAAATTACATCAACATCTTATAATTTTCCAATCTGCTTGAATCTAGTCTGCTTTGAAATGACAGACAAAACTGTTACTACCTATTTTGTTCATTTTATGCAATTTTATCAATGTGTCTTGCGGTATGCAATATGTATACCATACATTTATGTATGTAAAACCTATGTTACCTTCAGAAGGTCTATACCCTTTCCTGTGTCTGTACTAAATCTAAGCTAAAACAATTTAATTTCTATGCTCCCCAAAGCGTGAGTATATAGTAGCTGCTTTGTCCGTCTGTCCGTGCTATTTAAGAGAAGTAGGGGGCCATGTAACTGTAAACAGAACAAAAGAGAACAATAAAGTTCATTCCGTAACAATAGCATAAGGGGCCATGGCCCTCTTTTAAACGGAAGAAAATAACAAAAGAAATGGTCCCTTAGTCCATTTAAGTGGCACTTCTGTCCGTCCAGACTATTAAAGAAAAGTAAGGGGGCCTGTAACTGTAAACAGAACAAAAGAGAACAATAAAGTTCAGTCCATATCAATAGAATAAGGGGCCATGGCCCTCTTTTAAACAAAAGAAAATAACAAAAGAAATGGTCCCTTAGTCCATTTAAGTGGCACGTCTTTCCGTCCAGGCTATTAAAGAAAAGTAAGGGGGCCTGTAACTGTAAACAGAACAAAAGAGAACAATAAAGTTCATTCCATAACAATAGAATAAGGGGCCATGGCCCTCTTTTAAACAAAAGAAAATAACAAAAGAAATGGCCCCTTAGTCTATTTAAATGGCATATACGTCTGTCCTTCCGCTATTCTTGTCCGGAAACAACAAGAGGTATCAACATGAAACTTTGTAAGTAGAAAGATCTCATTGAGTAAAAGTGCAGTTCACAAGAACTATAACTCTGTCTTGCCTAATTTTGAAGTAATTGCCCTTTGTTCATTTTTACACTTTGAACTTTGTCCGGTACATAACTCTGACACTACAATTGGTATTCTTTTCTGTGTCAAAAACCTATTCGGGGAGCATCATCCGGTTCAACCGGTTCTTGTTGATAACCAAAGTTAATAAAACTGACAATCTTTTCTGGTCAATATAACATTAAATCTGGCTATGAGTGTTTCTCACTAAATCAAAAATATGCAGTCTGGAACTGTCTGACTCTTGGATGAAAATTGATTGAGCTATTTGGTCGTACTTGATTAAATCATTTCCTTTAAAATATCAGTATTTAAAAAAGATTTTTGTTTTCTTTTGGTTTTAGTGAGAAGTATAAAATTGATAAACTGTATAGAACAACCTTATTATAAGGCCAAATAAAAAAATATGTCTGGTTCAGGAAACCTTTGCCCAAAAATTAGGAGGGTAGGGATTTTCATTTCTTTTCTTTTTTTGAAACGTCTTATTTTCCATTTTTAAATGTGTTGCTTGCATAACATACTTAAACAGAGATTGTAATCAATCAATGCAAACACCATTTTGTAACTTCCAGCATAGTGTGTTTCACTCTAGTCTCAATATGAATGGTATTGGTAAAGAATTATATAAAAATTATCACTGTCAACAAGTTTAGAATGACACTAGCAAACAGTTAGCATCTTTTCGCTTGAAGCAGCTCTCGTCTGAATCACTTTTATCAAACAAATGCCCTAAAACATGTTACTTCACCTTCTCCAAAATGTTGCCCCTTGGATGGCCGTTGACATCTCACACTTGACATCGTATAACATTTATATGATAAGTTTTTAGCTCACCTGTCACAAAGTGACAGGGTGAGCTTTTGTGATCGCTTTTCGTCCGGCGTCCGTCGTCCGTCCGTCGTCCGTAAACTTTTACTTTAAATGACATCTCCTCATAAACCACTAGGCCAATTTCATCCAAACTTCACAGGAATGTTCCTTTGGTGGTCACCTTTAAAAATTGTTCAAAGAATTTAATTCCATGCAGAACTCTGGTTGCCATGGCAACCGAAAGAAAAAACTTTAAATATCTTCTTTTAAAAAACCCTAAGAGCTAGAGCTTAGATATTTGGCATGAAACATCTTCTAGTAAGAGTCTACCAAGTTTGTTCAAATAAAAGCCCTGGGGTTAAAATTGGCCCCGCCCCAGGGGGTCATTGATTTTCCCTATATGCATATAGTAAAAACTTACAAAATCTTCTTTTAAAGAACCCAAAGAGCTAGAGCTAAGATATTTAGCTTGAAACATGTTCTAATGAATGTCTACCAAGTTTGTTCAAATAAAAGCCCTGGGGTCAAAATTGGCCCCGCCCCAGGGGGTCATTGATTTTCCCTATATGCATATAGTAAAAACTTACAAAATCTTCTTTTAAAGAACCCAAAGAGCTAGAGCTAAGATATTAAGCATGAAACATCTTCTAGTTAGTGTCTACCAAGTTTGTTCAAATTAAAGCCCTGGGGTCAAAATTGGCCCTGCCCCGGGGGTCATTGATTTTCCCTATATGCATATAGTAAAAACTTAAAAAATCTTCTTTTAAAGAACCATAAGAGCTAGAGCTTAGATATTTAGCATGAAACATCTTCTAGTGAATGTCTACCAAGTTTGTTCAAATAAAAGCCCTGGGGTCAAAATTGACCCCGCCCCAGGGGGTCATAGATTTTCCCTATATGCATTTAATAAAAACTTAAAAAATTTTCTTTTAAAAAACCCAAAGAGCTAGAGCTAAGATATTAAGCATGAAACATCTTCTAGTGAGTGTCTACCAAGTTTGTTCAAATTAAAGCCTTGGGGTCAAAATTGGCCTCGCCCCGGGGGTCATTGATTTTCCCTATATGCATATGGTAAAAACTTAAAAAATCTTCTTTTAAAGAACTATAAGAGCTAGAGCTTAGTTATTTGGCATGAAACATCTTCTAGTGAATGTCTACCAAGTTTGTTCAAATAAAAGCCCTGGGGTCAAAATTGACCCTGCCCCAGGGGGTCATAGATTTTCCCTATATGCATATAGTAAAAACTTAAAAAATCTTCTTTTAAAGAACCCAAAGAGCTAGAGCTAAGATATTTAGCATGAAACATCTTCTGATGAGTGTCTACCAAGTTTGTTCAGATAAAAGCTCTGGGGTCAAAATTGGCCCCGCCCCAGGGGGTCATTGATTTTCCCTATATGCATATAGTAAAAACTTAAAAAATCTTCTTTTAAAGAACTCAAAGAGCTAGAGCTGAGATATTTAGCATGAAACATGTTCTAATGGGTGTTTACCAAGTATGTTCAAATAAAAGCCCTAGGATCAAAACTGGCCCCGCCCGGGGGGTGGGGGGGGGGGTCATTGATTTTCCTTATATGTGTATAGCAAAAACATAAAAATCTTTTTTGGAAAAACCCAAATAGCTAGAGTTTAGATATTAAGCATGAAACATCTTTAAGTAAATATCTACAAAGTTTGTTAAAATAAACGCCCTGGGGTCAAAACTGGCCCTGCCCCAGGGGTGACATTGTTTTTAACTATATGTGTATAGTAAAAACTTTAAAAATCTTCTTTTAAAAAAGCCAATGAGCTAGAACTTAGATGTTTAGCATGAAACATCTTCTTATGGGTGTCTACCAAGTCTGTTCAAATAAACAAATAAAAGCCCTTGGGTAAAAATTGGCCCCGGGGGTGGGGGGGCCTATATACAGGTGAGCGACCTCAGGGCCATCATGGCCCTCTTGTTTGAGATTGCCCAAACATTTAGTTAAACTTTTCGTACCAAAAAAATTTTGTAGCGAAAATCAAAAAAAAAGTTTAGGGTAGGGGGGTAAAAAAATAGGGTAGGTCGGGTTCCCTGAACCAGACATATTTTTTATTTTGGCCTAATTATCTATCAGACATGTGCCTGTAGTAACTTACAAACTGTCCTGAAATGGAATTGTAGGTTAGCAAATAGTTTAAATTTTGAAAAGTTGTTTGAATTGAATATTTGGTATACATGTGGATCTATGATTTTATATTACTAGTACATGTTTACTTAAACTTCTTGTATGAAGCATAAGTTATTAGATCAGCAGTATTATTAAGTTTAATAATATAACAGACCTTATGTTTTACAGCTCACTGGAGCACTCAGTGCTTACAGGTGATCTTTCATTTGTGATAGAATGATGTCCGTCTAGCGAAATCTGATGTTGTACACAATTTATTTAAACAACATCTTCTTTACCACATGGTAGATTTTGAACAAACTTCATAGGAACAATCCATAGTTCCAGTTGTTGCATAAGTAGGTCACAAGAGTTAGATATTGACTGAATTTTTTTTTAATCTCTTAATCTACAATGCCAAAGGCTTATTTATATGTTTAGCATGTAGGATCACCTTAATGCCCTCTACAAAAATTATATTAAAAATACACAAAGGGTAAAAAAATTTCCTGCCCCAGGGATCAATTATTTTACATAGACTTATAAAGGAAAACACATTTAGATTTTTTTATGTGAACTACATGGCCTTTTTAGTTTAGATATTTGGCACATAGTATTGTCTAGTGGACTCATACATAAGTAATAACAATCTTGGCCCTGGGGTTAAAAGTAGTCTGCATTTCTGCAAATGACACATTTCTTTGAAGAATAATGACCTTTTCTAGCAATGGGTCTTAGGTGAGTGACCAAGGGCTATTGTTGCCGTCTTGTATTATAAAGCATCAGAATGACATGAGTGGAAGTGAACCATTAAGTGAAAATGGTTGCCCCTACAGCATTTTTGAAGGCAATATTTGAATGGCTAATGGCAAACTTAATAGACTTTCATTCAAGCATTGAAATAAGGTCATGAAAGCATAATAACTGATGCTTAATTTTGTTGCCATGCACAGATTCTTTTCAACTTACACATCTTGCAAGACAGCATGGAAATCTCAGCTATTGTTTTAGCTGAGAGGTGGAGAAGTATCAGCTGACAACATGGCTGTAATGCTGGCCAGGAACAGACTTGTGCAGTCTATGCACCCATCTTGTTTTTGTTGTGGTGTGGTGAGTGAGAAACATGTCAAGGGCATCAACTCTTTGTCAAATGTGTGAATAGTGTCTCAGTGCTGTAATAGATACATGGCCAGATATACAGTGTGCAGTGTGTTATGTGGATACTGGATATCTACCAAATAGTGTCATTTACAGTGTATTACCTTGTCTTGCTTATACATGCATAATTTATATGTCTGTATAAATAAGACTCGATGAGATAGTCCTTGGTATTATGCATAGTGGAGAAGTGTTGCTTTGTGGGAATTTACTGTTCCCTTTGGAATGCATTTCATGTTTTCTTGTCTGTATATAGTCTGAAAGAGGAAAAAAGTTTTTGTTGATATACTTGAAAAAAAATTGTTTTTTACACAAACTGGAAGAAATCTTGAAATCCTTCAAATTAAATTTTTAAAGTAATCACATTTTTTCTCACCAAAGCACAAAACTGGTATGCTCAAAGTGAACTATTGTGGCCACTCATAGTCAGTCTACACTTTTCTTTATTCAGTAGCAGAGTGTTAGTGTTGATTTGTCCTTTTGTCCTCTCATCTTGTATACTGTTTCTCATTTTAATAGTTACAGTCTTCATTGATACATTACATTTATCATGGAAACTTACTATAGTAAAGGTACTCGTGTATCTGCCATGAAAGGCATGCATTTTCTTATTTGCTTGTGAGTAATATTTGTATTTTGATTTTGAAATCCCTAAAGTTTTGAAGAGGACTGTTCTAAATTCAAAGCAAGGCATAAACATTGCACTAATGTAGCAGGTTAAGGTCATTAAGGCTGGAAATTTTGACTTTTTCTTTTAATCTAGCAATGTTGGTGGCATCAGAGTATATATATTGGTGTCACTGATATCCCTGTTTATTGTAACAAATGACACAATGAAATCTTTGTACATATATCAGTTGACCACTTGTTATAAACAAGATTTGCTGTTGAAATTCTTTGTACAGACAAGTTTAAGATGAGAAATAGTGAAATACATTTCCTAAAGGTTCAGTATGCACACCACATTTGTGACAGCTATGCTATGTATGGTATTAATGAAAATCATGAGTCAGTCAACAAAATGACTGTCAGTTGATGCTTTCGAGAAATTTTTTTTAGATATAGATCTATCAAAACAATGTTGAAAATTCATTTTATTTCTCTTTAATCCAAATTTATATTTCAACAACTTTCACAAGTTGTTAAGTTTCATAAAATAGATTATTTATTTGATTAACATTTATATTTGAAGATAGAAACTAAAAAAAAAACACACAAAAAAAGCCAACAATTTTTATTTTAATCAAATTTGTGTCAGTAATGAATATTATACTTTTAATCATGAATACAGGTATTAAGATGTAAAGCTTTGCTGACTGTATTATAAATTGGTTTATGGTAAAATTGTTCTGTGAAAGTGATGGAGACTTTTGTCTTAACTTTTCTTATATAAAACAGTTTATATTACATATCAGCAAGGGGTTATATCATATCTGTATGCATGAATAGAAACCATACCTACCCTGGACAACTTTGAATTTTTTGTTTCTTTTAATTGTCTTTTATTTAAGCTAAATATTTTCTCTTTTGCTTCGTTTTTATAGCAAAAAGTCCAGTAAAGACTAAGGCAGAGGTAAAAGAAATGCCCACAATGGACACAGCAGAGAGTTTGGCAATGAAGGAAGAAATGATTACCGAAGTAAAGAAAGAAGAAGAACCGAGTTTTGAACATCTTTCTGCAGGTAGTTTTGTTTATTATCAAGACTCTTGGTTTAATTATGTGACATAAAGAATAGTGGCGCTTCCTGTCATACAGGCACATCTTGTTTAAATTCTTTTATAATCTTAATATGTGGATTATAATTTTAGATATTTAATATGTAAGTGTCTTGAAATTGTATTATACCATATCTTGGGGTTGAGGTTGATGGACTGTTGGTCATTGAGATTTGCACAGCACAGCATAAAATGTTTGTCTGTTCTGACAGTTGGATATTATGTGAAACATAGTTACTTTTGTCTCAGTTACATTTTCTGTTTTCTTCCACACTCACTATGTGCTTAGATGTCAAATGTGAAAACAAGTGCATTGCTTAAAAAAGGCTGTAACTTCACCATAGATACATGTATATGGATTTTTAAATAACTTGGCACAAATGTCAACCTCAATTAGGGGTGTACTTAGCCATAGATTTATACATTTATGTCAAATTTAAACCTAAATGAGTCACTGTATTGCATGCCAGTGGTTTTCCCCTTTTATTAAATCTTTTCACCACTATTGGGCTCGTCATGTTCCCCTTCAAACCACTTACCCCTAACCGCTGTGGGTTCGAATCCCGACAGGGACTTTGGATTCTTTCATGTGAGGAAGCTATCCAGCTAGCTTACGGAAAGTCGGTGGTTCTACTCAGGTGCCCATTAGTGCCTGAAAATATACAAGGAGGGGCACCTGAGGTCTTCCTCCACCAGTAAAGCTTGAACATCGCCAAATGACCTATACTGTGTCGGTGTGACGTAAAACCCAAATCAAACAAACAAACATGTTCCCCTTTGCATCTAGTTTTTCATTCACATTATTCTACTATAACTTGTCCTGTATCTCAGAGACTGCACATCAAGGGGGATTAATATTCTTCTGACATCTCTTAATGTGTAAATACGATAAATTCATACATTTTAACAGGTATATCATTTCCTTATGTCAAAGTTTACATTAAATGTTATTCTAAATAATTAGAAGAAGCATTGAGGAGGGCTGTTTTGAATGAAGAAGCAGCATTTGAGAAAGCCACAGCTATTATAGAGCAAGCAAAGATAGAAGTAGATGGGGATGTCCACATGGGCGATGCTGGAAACGAAAGAGGTGTTGAAACTGGAGAAGATGGTAACCCAAATCTACCAGAAATATCCTACAAGAACCCAACAATGCTTCTTAATGAAAAGAGAAAAGGTAAAAATTTTATAATCTTGGAAATTAAAACATGTAAATGCCCCACCCTCCATTGTCAATACCTACACATCAAAACTTCAGACAGCTAACAAATACCACTGAGACAGATATTATTTCTGTATTAAAATTAGAGAGAAAAAAAGAAGAAAACAATACATTTTTATTGAATTTAAAGTAAAGGACATGAATACCCCACACATTAAATGTTTCACAGGGACACAATGAACACAGAAAAAACTGGAGTAAATATAGACACAGCAGATAAAATTTCAAATGCATTGTATTTCAAATGTATTTGTAAATTCAGTTGTACACATGTTATTAAAAATTCATACATATTAAAAAAAGAAAAGAAAAATTAGATCATATTTAATTGAAAGAAAGACAAAATAACATAGAAAAATTACATAATATCTTATGAAAATAAACATGTCAAAAGCACTTGACTTCCTTCGTTTTGACCATAAAGAACCGTGGTGATCCCAGTGACCTACCTAGTAAACTATTGTGGCCATCAGTACTTTCTAGTACAATTATCAATAAATCAGGCTAGTAACTTTAATCAATATAGCTTTAAAATGGACAGTTCCATGCTATTAATTAATAGTAATTCTGAAGAAACTTCTATTTATTAAAACACACACTAGCTTGTAACTGGCACATGTATATGTTGCAAATAACTGAATTTTCACTGTACATGATTGCTTACAATGATAACTGTCAGTTTCTTTAGTACATCCATTTTTTAATGAAAAAAAAGAAAAAAAGAAAAAAGGGGAAATGCACCATCTGTGTTTAATTCTTTCTTAGCATTTAACTCAACTATTCAAAGAACAGGAAGAGCTATTGTACTCACCCAGGCATTGGCATCATCATCACACTTTGGTGAAGTTTTTTTGTGTGCAAGATGGTATCTCCAAAACTACTGAAGAGAATGGTTTGAAACTTTATTTTAAGAGAATGAAAGGTCACCATACAAGGCCTATAACTCTTTAAGCCTTATATTTATACCCCCAAAAACGAAGTTTTGGGGGGTATATAGGAGTCACCCGGTGGTAGGTCGGTCGGTCCAGACGTCCGTTGCATTTTCCTTGGTTGGAATTCAATATTACTACATACAATGGTCAAGCACATTGAGAGGAAGTGCAGTGCACAAAAACCATAACTCTATCTTGACTAATTATAGAGTTATTGCCCTTTGTTACTTTTCCTTGTCCGGGGCATAACTTGAAAACTACTGGTTGGAATTCAAAACAACTTCATACAATTGTCAAACACAATAAGGGGAAGTGGAGTGCATAAGAACCATAAATCCATCTTGACTTATTACAGAGTTACTGCCCTTTGTTACTTTTCTTTGTCCAGAGCATGACTTGAAAACTACTTGTTGGAATTCAAAACAACTTCATATAATGGTCAAGCACAATAAGGGGAAGTGCAGTGCACAAGAACCATAACTCCATCTTGACTAATTACAGAGTTATTGCCCTTTGTTACTTTTCCATTGCTTTTTTTGTCCGGACAATAACTTGAAGACTAATGGTTGGAATTCAATATAGCTTCATACAAATAATGGTCAAGCACATTGAGAGGAAGTGCATTGCACAAGAACCATAACTCTATCTTGACTAATTACAGAGTTATTGTCCTTTGTTACTTTTCCTTGTCCAGAGCATAACTTGAAAACTACTGTTTGGAATTCAATACAACTTAATACAGTTGTCAAGGACATTAAAAGGAAGTGCAGTGCACAAGAGCCATAACTCCATTTTGATAAAATACATAGTTACTGCTCTTTGATACTTTTCCTTGTACGGAGCATAACTTAAAACATACTGGTTGGAATTCAAAACAACTTCATACAATGGTCAAGCACAATAAGAGGAAGTGCAGTGCACAAGAACTATAACTCCATCTTCAGAATTTATAGAGTTATTGTCCTTTGTTCCTTTTCTATGTTTTTCTGGACTTATTACAGAGTAATTCAATAAAACTTCATCAATGGCCACTCACATTGAAATGAAATGCAACATACAAGAACCACAACTATCTTTAATTGCCCACAATCATAACTCTATATTTCAATTCTTTTACAAGGTATTCTGTTACTAGTAACATCCTCATTTCCGAAGCAGTCTTGTGGGGGTATTAATCACATTTAGTGATAGTTCTAGTTATTTGACAGAATTATGGCCCTTTTGAACTTCTACATTATCCAGGCCCTTGTTCTACTTTCAAGTACTGAGAATAGTCGCTTGTTATTTTATATCAACATCTGTTATAGATACATTTAATAATTAGTATATGAGCTTTAAATATTGTTTGTGAGTGACAGAGCAAGCAAGAGAAGGTGTGATTTTACTTGAATACTCTCTTCATGTCAGGTTTGACGTTTGAGCTTGTATCTGACACTGGAGAGGGCCCTAACAAGGTATGGACATACAGTGTTGAGCTGGAAGGACAAAAGTTTGATGGGACTGGACGTAGTAAGAAAGTAGCAAAACAAGAAGCTGCAAAATATGCTCTTATAAAGATGTTCAACATCTTATGTGTGCCAGGTAAGCGCTTTATTCTGAGTGTACTTTGTATACCTTTGATTTGTCTGTCACAAACTTTAACCTTGACCATAATAGAACTCCTTCCAAATACAGCCTCCCAATATCACAGGTAAGACCTTGATAAGCTGTTTCCACCAGACCCGCTTAGAGGTCATGGGGTCAAAGGTTAAAGGGCACCCCAGGTCATTGCTCTGTGGGGTATGACATCCATTTGAAAGCTGCACTTATTTTCAACCATTTCAATCATCTAAGTTTACTCTGACAAGTTACTAATCAAGTCAAATTGTAAAGTAACACTGGTTATCTTACAGCATTGGTGTAAAAAATTGTTAGGAAACTATTATTGTAGATTTAAAGCTGCACGTCTCCAGATGAGCCAGAAATTCAATCTTTATAAAAATATACTTAGATCTTAAGAAAAGTAAAAAGATTAAATGTTTAATTAATCATTTTCATGTTATGTGCGATTAATGACTGATTTTGCAGGATCAATCACTATAATTCTACTGCGTTACTAACGCAGTAAGAGGTATTTATGTATATGTTGACATCTCTTTTTTAATTTACATGGATTGCAAGTGCTATTTGCAATGTGTAAATTACTTTTTTTGTTCACTTCACAATATTTTACTTTCAAATACATTTTCAAAATTTTCATGAAAATTAGCATGAATCTGGAGGCGTGCTGCTGTAAGCTTCATATTGTTTAATATATGGAGAGTAATCTTTCCCTCTCAATTATCCACATCTAGGGGAAAACCAGCATTGTAACTCAAAAGTCAAGGTTATATATAAGGGTCAAAGGTGAAAAATCTTAGCAAAAGTACATTCTTTAGTTATTGTTCTTTGTAAATTTAATATGGGAAATTGCTAGATTTTAATAGATCTTGGCAAAAATTTGTAATTCAATAAGAAAATGATTCTTATTAAATTTCATCTAAGTACATTTGTGTGCTTTTGAATTAAAGCCCTTTAAAAAATTTAAATAGCTATATTTTTAGCTCACTGAACATTGTTAAGGCAAACTATAGTGATCACCTTGTGTCCAGCATTTGTGATTGTTAACATTTTAAGATTGCCTGCTTAGCTCAATAGGGACAATATTTGATTTGTAATCAAGGGTTGCTGGTTGGATCTTCAGTAAAGGAAAGATTTCTCTGTGATAATTGATCTGGGATATTGAACGTAATGGCCGTTTGTCCCCTATGGCTGATTCAGAAGTCATGGGGTATTGAAAGTGAAATGGGTAATTACTGGTTAGTTACTCAGGAAAGCCAGATAGAGGGACAGACACTAGGATATTATCAGAAAAATATGTTAAAACCAGCGTAAAAACCTACCAAAGAAATAAAGATAACATTTCACTTAAATAACATCTCCTCCTAAAGCCCTTGTTCAATAGTAAAAGAATGGTCCTTGGATAATCTTATATAGAAATTGCTCAAATGGTCTGCTGAACAAGATGGTCACAAGAGCATCTCCTCCTCAACCAGTTGTTATCATAGTGAGGTTCTCCACAAATATTGTTTAAATCGTGTCTGATCTGTTGTACAAATTGGTCAGCTAGAGCAAAAAATAGAAATATGCTCTGAAGGACATCTCTTCAACAGCTTACAAGAGCTTGATAAAAGTTTACAGAAATGGTCATTGAGTGGTCCTGTACTAAAATTGCTCAAAGTGTTTCTATCAGCTGAATCGATGGTCCCCAGAGATTAAAATAGAAAACAGCTGCCATTTTAGTGATGGTACAACAATGATAAAATTGTTCTGATCTTCTGAAGAAGATGGTTGCTAGAATTTAAAATTGAATAAAATTGAGATTTAAACAATACCTTCCTTCCATCATGTTTTTTATTTAAACAAACTCTTGAGGAAAGGTCATAAGATGATCCTTAACAAAAATTGTTAAAATGGTTCTGGTCTGTTGAATAAAATGGCCCCCTTGAGAAAATAAGAAATAAGTTGTAAGGATGTTTCCTCCTAAACTGATGGGTATATGTTGAATTGATCATTAGGTGACATGTTATAAGTATCACTTAAATTGTTCCAGTCTGCTTAACATATGGCAGCCGAAGCAATAAATAGTAAAGTCTTTAAATGACATCTCCCCCTTAACAGTTACTGCTTGTTAGATTTTTATGAAACTATAGAAGTGATCATAAGGTGTATTTTTACAATGCTTGCTTAAACGTTTTTGGTCTGCTGAACATGAATGGTGCCAGAGTTAAACAAGCTTTAACCAACATATCTTACTCAACCATACTGCAAATTTTAATAAAACATTTACAGGAATGATCATTTGATGGTACTTTATGAAAAAAAAAAGCTCAACTCTTTTTTGCTGTTCAAGCTTATTGGCATATCTAAAAAAAGACATCTCCTCAACTGCTGGGAAATTTTGATTAAATTTTATAGGTACTTACCTTTGGTGATACAAATGTACTGTACAAAATATGATAAAAATCATTGTATCATAGTTTGGGGACCTTTCTGTTGAAAAAGTGTCAGAGTTAAATCGTATACATATACATGCACAGTGCGGTAACTTGAGTGCAGGTATCAGTTACCCGCACTTCAGATCATGCCCGTTGATTGGCTCATTTTTGCTGGGGTTTACATATTGTGACGGCCGAGAAAGGGAAAGCGGCAGAAATATCATATTCAGATGCTCGGATCATTGGTTACTTTTTCCCGGGCTTTAAAATTGTGACAACAGGGAATTTGACTATGATACAAAAGAGAAAGATCACCAAAACACTCGGCAATCTGATTTATACTCAGGGGCTAAGCCCCCTCGTACAAATCAGATAGCCTCGTGTTTCGGTGCTCTTTCTATTACTTACCTGTACAATCTGCTGAAAAGATGGCTGCTTGCTTGTGACATCCCTTCATTAAGTGCTTGGCTGAATTTTATGAAACTTGATAGGGATAAGTTAATGATAAAAACGTGTCCATGTAAGCTACTAGTATATAATATTCACATGTGAGAGATTAAGGGCCATCATGGCCCTCTTGTTTCATGAACAATTTCTGTCCAGAATCAAATATTGAACAGATTTGTCAGTTTTCATTAAGAATTGATGTGTATGGTAATATGTGGATGACAGCATGGTGAATCTTAAATGTCACTATAATTCAAATGTTCATGCTGAGTTATGTCCCTTTACTGTTTTAGACTGGAAAGTCTGCATTAGGTCTTCTATTTGTACAAAAAAAAATCTGGACAACAAATCTTTTCCAGAACTGTTATATTTTAAATTATAGGATCTTTTTTGAAAATGATTCCATGAAAAACGTACTTTTGTTTGTTATTTAGTGCACTGACAATACTTGATTTGTGAAGGTTTGATGTTCAAATGTCTTAGTGTAAAATATTAATTTCTCCTTGTATGTCTTCAAATAGATTAATGAGTCTGTTGTATGTAATGGATAACTTATCTGTTTACTAGAAGAATGATTACCGCCTCCGTGGTTGAGGGGTTAGAGTCGATGACTTCTAATCCAGTTACCTCTCTGGCGTGGGTTCGATCCCCGGGAGATGCTTTGGTAGTTTAGCGCGGAGGAAGGTTGTCTAGTACTGGTGTAACTCTCCAGGAACGATGGTTAGGAAACTACCCGCCTATATGACTGAAATACTGTTGGAAAAAGGCGTAAAATGAAACAAACAAACAAACAAAACAGAAGAATGATTGCAGCACATTTGGCATAATGATATTTTGTTAATTTTAATTTTACACATTGTATATGTATAAACAGTTGCTCAACAGTGACATTGTTGGCAGATCTTGAAAATTGTTTGACAACAGCTTCTGTTCAGTAAAACAGGTAATTTAAATTTCTGGAATTCTTCTAACTCAAATCAATCAATACATGTAGAGTATACAGTGAACAACATAACAGTTGTGTGTTAATAAACTACCACCCATATAAATAGAAGATGATAAATCAAGTCATTTTACATTTTCACGATTTAAGTTGGTGAATTCAAAAGTTTTGGTTTTTCTAAATCTAAATGTTTAAAGCTATGTCTGATTATTTATTTTTTAAAAATAGAAAAAAAAACTGAAAAGTTTGTTGTTTTCATAACCTTGCGGTTGTTTCTTGAAAGATTTTTGTAACATAGAGTGATTTTACGATTCAAAGTCTTGGATACTATTACCTGTTCAATTTTGTATTTCTTTTGGCCCAGGACAATTTCTTTTGATGTTTTATGTATTTTATTTGCCAAAAAATACTCCATTTTCCACTTCTTTAACTTCTAAGACAGTTTCTGTACAAGACATAGGTAGGTGCATGAATCACATTCTTCAATAGTTCTAGTTGGTTCTAGTATTCAGTTAGGTATTCCATGAATGAGAGAGTAAAAGCCCCACCCCTTAAAAGTCAAAATTGCATATCAAGTATATTTCTATAATGTAGCAGTTTTATTTATTTTTTTATCTGTTTAATCCTCTGGTTTAAATCCCATAATGTTAAGAGAATTGACATTTAATACTAGTGTCCAGCAGTATCTAGTAGTCCTGTTCAAAGATTTTTCAAGTTATGCCCTTATGATCAAAATTAGTCTGTCCAAGGGGTCAGTTGTTTTAGTTTATGAATGTAATAAAACTTGAATAATTAGGCCATGCAGATAAACAGTTTAATATAAACTTATTTAAAAAAAGAAAAGAAAATTAAGCATGTTTCATAATTCTTTTACTGTATATAATAAAAGCTCATGATTCTTTATGTCAATATTTGATAGTTTAGTGGAAGCTTTACTCATTAAAATTGATCGTTAAAAAAATTGTGTGTTAGAATCATACTTATGCATTTTTCAAATTGATTCAAGTGTAGTAAATAAAGAAATAAACAAAGCAAAACAAACAAATTTATAACAAACAATGGTTTTCATATCACCATTAGATCATGAATGTAAAATATATGTTATTTTATCACAGAAACTCTGTTTAGAAAAAGAAGACTTTTCTTTCTTATTAATAAGTTTTCCTGACCGATAT